GACTGTAAAAAAAGACATTATGGGCTGTTTTAGATTAGTTGCTGTAATATTCTGAATATAATGTTAATACAGAGTGGAATCCAGTAAGCCCCCAGATGTTAAGGTGAAGGCCATAACCTCACAGTCCTAATGTTGCCTAATTTAGCATCACGCTTGACATTTATGACTGACACTTGCAAATGCTTGACTTTGTATGTGATGTATTAGTCTCTATACACACACAACAAATAATGGTTTTGCCTCTAAGCTGCTCCCTTAATGTGGAAACTATTCTGCCCACACTGACATGCCGGGTCCATCATCAAGTGATATTCCAGGACCTCATAATTCACTATTTAAGCACTGATAATAACATAAAATCTCTTACATTGAATGCTTCAGACATTTATGGACACCTTTATATACTGTACACACACACATATGTACTGGCCTTGACAGCAGAGTGGGAGAATCAGGCGACAGGGAAAGATTTTTGTTCTGCTCCTCCACCCCTTCCCTTACCACATCTAAGGGCTTCAGTGAAAGTGTGAAGGCCTGTCTGATTGCAGCTCTAGCTGTGAGCACCGTGTTTAAAAACAGGAGGAGAAAACAGAGGGGGTGCCATTTTGAAATCACCTTCCTTCCCCGACTAGACCCAGACCACTGCACACCACACAGAAAAGAAAATGAGAGCACACAGAGACACATAAGGGTGGGTGGGAGGCAAATGAAAAGTGATAGGGTGGGGGCATGTAGGTGCAGGATGAATTAGATGTATATTGAATGTTTGATGGTGCTTTACAAAGCTTTAGTAGTCTTAAGTGGTAAAACATTATGTTTGGGAACCATCAAAATGATTTGATTTAGCTGAATGGAACCCGAGTCTGGGGACTGGGGACCGTGTCTGTACACAAACACATGTTAATGTAAACATGTATGAAGAATGACTGCACTGGGATTTTGGCTCCTCAGCACGAAAAGAGGATTTATTAGGAGAGCAGTGATGTGCTGTGTTGTGTGGCGATGGGCTGCCAACACACATACATATACACTGCCTCCTTCCATCAGTGTTTCATCCTCATCCTCAGTGATTCAGGGCATCCCTAAAGTGTGACAATACCCACTTAAATGTAGACCACAGGAGGTACAAAGAGAAGTGAAGGGGGAATAGAAAACAGGGTTTCCGATTTCAGAGCATCACAAAGACGGTAGATGCAATCTCAGGTTGCTGTGCCGGCTTGGGCTGACACGTGAGGACATAGTGTGAAACCCAAAGCTTATGTCAGAGGTCAAGCCGTAAGCTGTAAGTTATAATCTGTCTCCTGTGGCGATAATGTCACTGTAGGACAG